TTAAAGTGAAAGTCAAGGCTAACAACATAATACTCCTCGATGGAAGAGCTCGGCAAATGTAAGAACATGCAATTTACAGTTTTTTTATATCACTTCTCATTCTCTAGATATTCAATTTTTCAACAATTTATGTAGACCACCATCTTGATTCTTCAACAAAGGATTGTGGGTAAAGTATGACATCATAGTCTGTTGTCAGAAATTGAGAAAATGATTTCATCTATAACTTCAAAAGTTGAACTTTAAATTGGCTGAACGTTTAGAACAGGGTAGCATACATGTACTGGTGCCAAACATGCTTATAAAATAGTTGTCATGGAAACAGAACTGAAAATATTTATTTTTATGTTTTCCCACCAAATGCTCAAATTTCCTTATATTGTATACAATTTACCGATGTGAGTAGGTTATATAGGTGTCATGTTACTTGTTGATCATAAAAAGTGGACAAAAAAGTGTCATTCTATATTTCACAACGAAAATAACGATTTTTATTTTTTTAAAGTTTCATGTGTATTTGTAACATTCTAATTTATATTACTATAATCATATACATGAGTTATATGCATAACAAAAATTTGAACTAATTCGCATTAGTAATTCCCATGTTATAGATAAAATCATTTTCCCAATTTCTTACAACAGACTCTCTGATGTCATACTTTACCCATGATTCTTTGCTTGAGAATCAAGATGGCTGACAACATAATACTGATGAAATGTTGAATATCTAGAAAATGAAAAGTGATATAAAAAAACTGTAAATTGCATTCTCCTACATTTGTGGAGCTTTTTCTTGGGGGTCATTGTGTTGTTTGGCTTGACTTCCTCTTTAAGTGAAAAAGCTGGAATTCTAGAATAAACAACTAAGTTGTAAAAAAACACATAGTACTCATCACGTGACAACGTTTTGCCCATACTCGCAACACGGGTTAGCCAGGGATGGCGGTCAATTCACACCTAATACAATGACCGTTTCCAGACTGGGGATAGAAGGACTGTGATCTCATCAACCATGCATCGAAATTATTTTGTGGTTATGTTTTTTCTGGCATTTGTATTGTATTGGGTTATCTAGGTCTGGACAAAGCACAAACCATTGGAAAATTACATCTGCTTTGATGTTTCATCAGTGCAGTCTTGATCAAAATTGTTCAAAAATTATCAAAAGGTTTTCTGGGTTTTATTTTGCGAGAGTTGAGTAAAACTTCATGTTAGTGCTCAAAGGGTTGTCTGATTCTGTTGAAAGTTTGTACTTGAGTATTATACTTGTAGGTATTATCATACGTAATTTACTGATGCCAAATTACAAAAATGTCTTCAAGTAAGAGATAATGGCCAAAAATGTCAGAATGGTTCAATAAGATTTGTGTCTGCATCATCAATTCTATTTCCCTCACATGCTACATTTTACTGCGTTTATTTGTTCAAATATGATGTGCACATTTTCCAAATGTGTCTGTGTGGATGGCTCACTTGTCTAGTTTTAATCAACAGATATATAATTTACCTCTAACACATTGCATTTCTCAAAATCCCTGAAATAATACATTTGTGAACTTCACTTTCTATATTTTCGAATTTCAGGAAAATATACTTAAATGTAACGAAAAGTGTGCAGAACTTCAGGAACAGCTTGAAAATAAAAGATTAGAGCATTTAGCAACAATAGGTAATTTAAACTATGACAAATCTGTTTTTTAGACTCCACCTGAAACAGGCTGGTAAAACTGACTGTGTCCCTTGGTAGGTTGTTTATTTTTCAGCAATCCTCAGACAACCAACTAGTTTTGAACATCACACATGTTGATTTGCTCTGATACACTTTGTTTTCACTATTACTGATAAATTTATTTTTCTTGTGAATATTAAAAAAAAATGCTGATCAATAAATAAAAAAAAAAGCTGCATTGATCATTGTGTCGGATTGATAAATTAAATGCTGAAGCATATTGGTTACTATTTTATTGTATTTGAATATTCTTATTATTTATTGTAATATTCTGTGGACTGTACTGTAAGTTCTAAATTTATTTCTGAAAACAATAAATGTATTTATTTTTCTACAGCAAACCAAATCTGCCAATTCATATATTAGGGTCTGTTTTCTGCCTATTCTTCATAATTATCTTAAAACAAAATGTTATAGTTTGGAGAAGGAAACAATTCGTGTGCAATATATCTGAAGTATGGCTCTTATTTTTACATATCTGTTTATATGTCTCAGTAGTTAGTAATGCAAGTGCTTCTTAAATTTGATAAGCTGCATTAGCTCTGTAATGCAATTACATGTATTTGTTGTATTTTCAGATGTTATTGGTTCCAAGCTGAGAAGTACAGAAACCGAAAACAAGGAATGTCTGAAACGAATGTAAATATAAGTAATTTTCAGACAGAGTATACTTGTACATCCAAGTACATTCTGTCTAAAACTGTTTTTTTTTAAACATGTGCAGTAGTGTACTGTTATTACATATTATTGTAATACTGTGGTGTACTAACATATTATTGTAATGCTGTGGTATATTGACTCATTGCTGTAATGCTGTGGTAGGTATATATTCACACATTGTTGTAATATGGTAGTATACTGACACATTATTGTAATGCTGTTGTATGTTGACACATTATTGTAATACCATGGTATATTGGTACATTATTGTAATGCCATGGTATATTGGTACATTATTGTAATGCCACAGTATATTGACACTGTATTGTAATGTCACAGTATGTTGGCACATTATTGTAATGCCATGGTATATTTGCACTGTATTGTAATGCCACAGTATATTGGCACATTATTGTAATGCCATGGTATATTGGTACATTATTGTAATGCCATGGTATATTGGTAAATTATTGCAATGCCATGGTATATTGGTACATTATTGTAATGCGGTGGTGTGTTGGTACATTATTGTAATGTGGTGGTGTATTGAAACATTATTGTAATGCTCGGTTTAATAGCAACACTATAATGATTGCAAATGTTATGGCCAGTTTATATCAATACTGTGCTGTAATGAGTGTATGTATTCTTCACATCCCTCTGCATATATTGCTAGTCTTTAATCAACTTTTCCAAGAGCTATAATGAATCAAGTCATGTTTTTTTCTTTTTACCATTAGTGATTCATACACTGAGAAGATAAATTCATTTCACATTCATCCAGGTGAGTCTGTCATTAATCCTAGGCATAATAGACCATAAGATGTTGATCAAACAGAGAAGAATTTAGAAGAATTGAAAGAAAAAAAGATGAGATGATGGCAGATGAGGTTGTGGCTTATACTTTTGGCTATTGTATTTGTGTGCTGTTGTATTTTTTGCATATATTTGTTGAAGTCACTGTTGGCTATTCTGACTTTTATGCGAAAATTGCAAGAACTACATGTAATACTTAATGATCCAGTGCATTTTGTCATAGAAACCTTATTCCTAATATTTTGGAATGTGTAAACACTTCACTCACTTCCTGTGATTTTGCTTGAAATTGATCTTTTGTAATGGGAGATATTCTACCACCTCCACATGTCTCAAAATGATCAGAATACTATAGAATACTTTATTTTCACTTGGAATTTATTTTCGCTGAAGGGATGATTCCGTGAAAATAAAATCCAGCGAATATACATTTTTTCCTATATTTCACATTAAGCTCATCAAAAATCAGTGAAAATAAATTCCATACAAAACGCCCAAAAAGCCTTTTCAGCGAAAATTAATTCCAGTGAAAATAAAGTATTCCACAGTATGTAGTTTCTCATTCAAACATTGAGGAATGTGAGACTGTTTTTATTATTGCCAGGAGTATATGGTATTGATCACTTGACAGTATTTTGAAATTATGTCTTTCTTTTTTAATAGATTTTGGGCCTTTTCTGATAAAAAAATATTTTGATACAGGCATCACAGCCATTTTGAATTTTTCACAGAATTCACCATGAACTGTCAAAATTCATGCCGGCATCGGAATATTTTTTTTAATTACCCCGGTATAAACGGTATGTAATCTTCGCCTGAAGGTGGTATTTTGTTTGGCCTGACAAAGTAATCACTGAAAACTATTTGTTTGTTTACAGTTACTCTCCAACCCCTGTTATCACCTGCTGAAGAGGAAGAACTTAAACAGAAACGACAGGAAGCCAGGGTAATATATGGGAGCTTTTTATTCATTCTTTAAACTTCTAACACATACTTTTGACTTGTTACCCTAATTTTGACCTAATTGTGCACAGTGACCTTTGTGACCCTTAATTCTGACCTTTGTGACCCTTAATTCTGACCTTTGTGACCCTTAATCGTGACCTTTGTGACCCTTAATCGTGACCTTTGTGACCCTTAATTGTGTCTTCTGACCCTGAGATTATAGTAGAATAATCACAGTGGACCAAAAACAACCACAAATTCTCAGTTGTTATTCCTAACAATATCTGTTAACTATTTGAACTTTTACTCCACTATATCATTGTATATAGTTATTTCATGATTAATTCTAAACACTACATACTGCATGAACTATTAGGAGATAATACACAAAAATAATGCACATCATATTACCGGTTTATATCGGTATGTGTGAAATATTTTGTTTGATTCACACTTGCAATGTGAGTTAGAGCACAAACTATTTAATGTTGTCATTGATATAGAATTTCATCTTTGTTTACTTGCAGCGTAAGGCTGAAGATTTTATTGTGGAAAGCGAAAGAGAAAGTCAATTAGACAGTGATGATGATAATAATAATGCAAGTATAACTGCTTAACACGTTCAATTTCTAAAATGTGCTATAATATGAGGTCATCAGGATTGCTGTGACATGCAGGTACCTTGGGTGCTTCATATTTGTTTTATTTCATTATGATAAATTTCATATTTCATAAAGAAAATCTTTCTTTACTACAATGCATCAGTATTTATTGAAAACTAGCATCCTGATTGCTTCCGTATTTACCATGAAAGTGTCTTGGGTGGGTGATAAGTCGACACAGCGGAGCTGATCATATTACTAATTATCCGTCGCCGTCGTCAACTTTACAATTTCAACTTTTTCTTCAAAACCGCAAGTCAAAATGTTTTCAAATTTGATATGCAAGTACTTTAGATGGTTCTTTCTCAGATTTGTTCATTTCATGTCAAAATCTCAAATTCTCTATTTTTGATGAATATTTTTGTCATTTTTGGTGAAAAGTGATATTTTCGACTTCTTGTTAAAAACTGTAAGTCCGATTGCTTTGATATTACATATATAGGTACTACATGTGGACCTTTCTCAGATTTGTTCATTTCATGATGATATCTTAATTTTCTAATTTTGATGAATATTTTTGTCATTTTTGGTAAAAAGTGATATTTTAAACTTCTTGTTAAAAACCACAAGTCCGATTGCTTTTATATTACCGTATTTATCTGGCTAAGAGCCCATGCCCGGACAAACGCCCACCCCCCACTTTTGATAAAATAAAGGAGTTGAGGTCATATCCCAGCAAACACCCAGGGGTGTTTTTTTTACACCTGTAATAAAATAAAAAAACCAAAACCTATTTTTGTTCATTGTATTAACAGTTTACTTCCTTGCAGTCTGTTGTTCTGATAACAAAATTTGAAAAATAAATGTCAATTGCGTAAAACGAGGAGTGAACGCAAAATAGCCGTGACATAAATGGAGCAGCGCGTTCACCACTGTTTACGTAGTTTACATTTATTTTTTCAAGATTTTTTATCAGAAAAATAACAGCCAGCGAGTCAAAAAAAAAATGTATATTAAAGGAGAAACGGTAGTTCTTTGTTTTAAATATGTCGTGGCCCTGAAAAGGGCCGTTAGGTTTGTGTTTCCTTATAGAAACGATTCAAGCAAATCTTACAGTATATAATAGAGAGCCGTGAAGCAAGTGTCGCACTCGTTCGGCTTTAGCGTCACCGACAATAAAACCAATGTTGCAATATTGTAGCAACCCGTACCTGGAAGAGTAGTTTAAAGCATGTTGTTTTGGCTTCATAAAATATTTGCGAATCCATAACTGGGGCCAGCAATTTTGAAATGTCATGCCGAATACCACATTTTTTACCATCTTTCACCACAGCTATTGCATTTCATGGAAATTATTCTTCTGTCGTTGGAAAAAAATTCTTCCTATTTCAAGCCCACCGCGATATCCATATATCTTGCTGAATGGTAACTTTCACCATGATTGATGAACGAACGCCTAGTCTGATAAAAAAGCAATGTTGAATTTACCTCTATGATGAAACACGAGTAGTGATGTCATTCTTGGCCAATAGGTAACGCGGACGCTTAAAGGTCAAAGATGATTGCCAGACGGTAAACAAAAGCATCGTTTGAGTCGTTTTCCGCGCCTTCATTTTTCTTGTCTTTTTATTCTGATTAGACATGAACTAAAAGTGCCCAGCTACCAGACAGCGAAATCTGTGGATTAAATTTGCTAAGTCCAAATTATGTGGGACGACATCGACAAACTTCAAGACGAAGCTACATGTATAGAATTTTGTTCGATGGCGACAGTGGCGCCGACTTTCAGGGTTTTGACTTTTACGAAGATAGCAATGAACGTACAAATAGAGATCTTAGATGTGTTTTTTTTTATTTAACAACTATGAACTTTCGTAATTTTACTGCGTAAATTATTATTGATCTTGTATGGCTGTTGATTCGGTATTTATCAATACCGGAAATAATTCACACGTATGGAGCGACGTGTTTGTCGACGGCGATATTCTAATTCAAATGAATCTTCACTGTCGATTTTTATTATTTCTGGTTTTAATATTTGTCACATTCTAAGCAATAAATTATTTCTTGTTACACTTCTAATGCTGCATATGGTTCATTTATTTTTGTTGCATGTTTTTATTTGCTGTTTTACTCCCTTTCGCAGTTCGATCTGCGTGTTGCCAATTTTCATGATTTTTCTTTTTTTTTGCCGGGGATATCCGGACAAACGCCCACCCCTTCTTTTTGGCGATTTTCCATGTTCAGGACCCTGGGCTTATACCCAGATAAATACGGTACATATATAGGTACTACATGTGGAGCTCATTCAGATTTGTTAATTTCGTGGTGATATCTTCAATTCTCTAATTTTGGTGAATATTTTTGCAATCTTTGGTAAAAAGTGATATTTTTGACTTCTTGTTAAAAAACGCAATTCCAATTGCTTTGATATTACATATATAGATCATACGAGTGGCTCTTTTTCAGATTTGTTCATTTCGTGATGATATCTTCAATTCTCTAATTTTGGTGAATATTTTTGTCGTTTTTGATAAAAAGTGATATTTTTGACTTCTTGTTAAAAACCGCAAGTCCAATTGCTTTGATATTACATATATAGGAACTACATGTGGACCTCTCTCAGATTTGTTCATTTTGTGATGATATCTTTAATTCCCCAATTTTGGTGAATATTTTTGTCATTTTTGGTAAAAAGTGATATTTTCGACTTCTTGTTGAAAACGGCAAGTCCAATTGCTTTGATACTATACATATTGTTCATTTTCTAATGATATCTTCAGTTCTTTAATTGAAATGTGTATTGCTAACAGCGGAACTATCTCAGCCGACAGGCTGCTTGTTGCAATTATTACAGCTCATATAATTTGTCTGGGTGAAGCTATATTATCTAAAAGCCTTACCAGTGTTATTGTTTCATTGTTGCACATAACTGTATATTGTGTACATGTCTCCTTGACAACTCAAGAATTGTCCAATCAGGGGTCAGTCAATACTCAGGAGATTCATTTGTTTTTGTCATATTTATCGTAGGATTTATTTTATAATTTCAGGTTCTTCTGTTGTTGGACACGATAAACGTAAAGCCCCTCTATCCTGCAGATGAAGCACAGTAGTCTGAGAATATGTTTTGTACTTGATTATATATGTGAACAAATGCTAGGATTTATGTAATATTTATCATGTATATACGATTTTCTTACACTACCATGATTGGTCCTGTGTGCTACCATATATATCTGTTCAACACATGTATACGTTGACAATGCTTCTTTTATGTGGCCGTTTATTTGACTGGTAAAAAAAAATTTTTTTTTACTTTTCTCAAGAAGCCCACAACAGAGATAACATGGATCTTGCAAGAAGTTTATATTACAATTGTATTTTCTGAATTAGGTTATACTGCTGGTTTCCCCTAATATGAATTTATTTCACTTTATTTACGTCATAACAGTTGTTTGTGTAGAGTGAATGAAAATAATATTTTTTGTACTAAGACATTTTATCAATGTGTATATATTTATGTAGAATTAATAAACATGATTGTTACCAATATTGTTTTTTTTTTTTTTTTATAATCAGTCATTAATGCTGAATGTCTGAAAAATAAATTTGTACCGGTAGTAGAGATTTGTTGCTTCTGAGAGTCAATTTAAAGAGTTCTGTTTCTGACTGGAATTCTGAAAACCTTTGATAATTTGTAATCTCCAAATCCTGTCCGCGTGTTTGTGTCAAATATTGATTCACCAATATCTCTAGAACCATTGGGTGAATTTGGATGCAATTTCGGAAGTAATTAGATTTTAGTACAAATACTTGGCATATAATTAACTAGTTTCAGTAGTTTGCTTGGGTTGTGAACTTGGAACTTGCATACACATACTGTTTTTTTGTTTTTTCATGTCAAACACAGTCTGCATAAGTTTCTAAGCTAATTTGCCAAAAATTTATTTTTGGCCTATTTTTCAATATTGTAACAGTTACTCATGGTTTAAAATTTGATGCATGCATCCTGTTTCATGGCCGATAAATGTTTTGCGCCAATCTGCATTTTAATTATCTTGTTTGCATGACTGTTTTAGTACATCTTTGTAGCAGTTTGACCAAATGCAGTTTACATGTTTTGTATACGTCGCTATGAGTCCTATATCAAACAGGAAAATGAGTGACACCCACTGCTTTTTAAGTAACTATTTTCAGCTTGGCTTATTTTGTATTGTAACAACAATTTGGTGACGTGGCTCAAATCATTAGTTTTGAGTCTATCTATAAAGCTGTACGAGCAATGCTTAGACTGAAATAGTTTTTCGTCAGTTGTTCAGTAAACATCAAAGAATATTGAATTCACTTTATCGTTGAAGTGCTTTCTAGCATGTCTAGTTAAAATCCATGTTCGAGATGCGAGGCCACAAGGCTAGAAGATTGAAATGCACTGGACATTTTAATTGCACTTTTGGTGAATACAAGATAACTGGTTGGTTTGCAATGCTAATATAATCAGTATGATATTTATATGTATGGTAGATCATGCAGAATTGATGTTTTTTATTGTGGTGTAGCGAGGAGGGGTCACCGAAGATACTTCAATGCCATGTTGAACATAACTGGTTGAAATTGACCATGTCACTACTAATATTCAAATTGAACAAGGCAAAATAAATTTGGATAATGTTAGAATAGAGAATGTCAGACATGCATTCTGTATTCAGTATTCGATAGTATTTTCCAATAGAACAAAAATAGGATATTAAAATGCAAAGGCAGAGTAACACTGTCATTAAACCATATAATATGGGTCTTTAAAAGCATTATTTTTTTTTATCTCCTTGTTGACAAAGCCATCAAATTACTACTTGTGTGTTGGCATTATCCTGAATACCGCAAGTCCAATTGCTTTGTATATCATGGGTGGTATCTCTCGCAGATTTGTTCATTTGTTGATATCTTTAATTATCTAATTTCCATAAATATTTTTTGTAACTACCTATATTACCCATACTTTCTAAAATTAACTTGTATAGAGTAATTAATTTTATTTCTAACATCAAAATATAAGTAGCAATGTTTGGAAATTTTGTTTTAGTATCGTACATAAAGGATTTTTTATTTGTGTACACAGTGTATACTGTTAGCGCCCTCTGTGGTGGAAAATTGAAAACCATACTGAAATCTGACATATCCCAAGATGCATTTTAAACACATAATATGAATAGCAATGTTTTAAAGTATTTCATCTGTCATTGTGTGCCCTTTCAGTACAATTCTTCATCTTGAGATACTTGAGTGAACTTAACTTCAGTTTTGAGTTTATTCATACAGATTTAATTATTCTTTAATTACATTTTGCACATGTTTAGGCATATATATTTTTTACTTTAATTTTCGATCAAATGAACATAATTTCACATTCATTCCACATTGCATGATGTATGTGTACAATGTCCTCAACAGATTTGTTGAAATAATCAAATAAGATATGCCTACCATTCATTTCATTCTTCAAATATTTTTCTATGAGCATAGATTAAAAAGAAAACATTCATGATCATGTGAACACATAACGTGTACCTCATGTTTAGTAAATAAAATGTGCGATACTTAACATTATCAATCTGACTGGTTGTTAGATATATCTGTATGCAATGTTAACTATGTTGTATAAATATTGAGAATAATGAAGAGGAATTGGAAATATCATTACAAAAAATAAATAAATTTTGTATGTTTGCTTGATAATGTCTCTTGTGACCAAATCCTACAATGACATCTGTACATGTTTTGAATCATTATTTGGATAAAAGGAACAAATTAAACAGGTGTTTTGAGACAAAATTAGATCTCAACATATTTTAGCAGTGACAATCTACATAGTAGTATTTCAATAAAGCAGTCAATGTGTCTGTATTTTGGTCACTGTAAATCCCAGTCTGATTAAAATAAAATCCTAGTTTGGGTTTTTTTAAATTGTTAATTATTTAATTTTCATATATTTAATAAGACGTAATAATAACATCAAATTACAGAATTTAAAAAAAAATAAAGTAAAAATAATAATAAAAAAAAATGGGAAATAAAAATACACCTTATTCAATACATCTGATTTTCCAAATTCGTGAAAAAAAGTTCTGTCAGAAGCAAAATTTTGAGATCATGTTAAATTAAATGTATGAAACTGAAGGGCAGGGTTGATTGTCATACCCAGGGACTATTTCCTTTATAGCGGGCTTTACAGTTGTATCGTGTGATGCCCTGAAGGACGTCTGTGACACCTGCAACCTCAATAAGTAGTGCGTATCGTCTCGACCTGACCGGAGTTCGCTGTGACCGGTCATAGACCTAATAAACAATCAACACGTACGCTCAAACTAAATTGTTATTAACAAGTTAGGGGGCACCATGTCGCTAACCTTTCAACCAGGAAGTACTTCTCCAAATGTTTATCGCGGGATATGTCTTCCGAGGAAGAAGATTATATGTCGGATGCGTTTCTGCTTGGCAGGTATAGTAACTTGTTCGTATCTTATTTATGTCTATGTAATACTATTTATTGTTTCATAGACCAGACTACTAGGCCAATAAATAAATATTAAAGCTCCCAACGTGTTAACCCGAAATCTTGAAGCTGCAGCTCTGGATTTTACTGGTGTCTGATTTTGGCGTGTTCTTTGCATCGATAGTCTGATTCGGGAATCGCATCGAGCTACACAACTGCCGCTAGCAGATACACTGGGCAATAAATGTATAAAATTGTATTGTAAAGACGACCAACTCGAGGAATAGTGAATAGCACTTCAATTCCGTCGATTCTAACATTTTCACGTTAAGAAGTGGCACTACTTGCTATAAAACACGCCCACCAACTGCCTGAATACTTTCTTTATTATAGCATGTATGAAAAGGGCAAATGATTGTCATTCGACTACTCGAGTATTTTTGTTTGAATCTAAAAAAAACAATAATCCATATTTAACCCAGTATGTATGCATGATCCTGATACAAAGCCCTGTTCATCTGCGAGAAATGATTCTGGACTCATTTATAAAATTTTATTGAATCACAAAATAACACAACCTACTGTATTCAACTTGTGTGCAAACTTTCACCTGAATCAGGTGATACAGCTAGGACTCAGCATGGAGTGAATCAAAATGGTCGCCAAATGGCCATTTTTGTTTGAATCTAAATAAAAAATTATGACATGCATTTGTAACCTATTATCATGCATGAACAGGATATAAAATAAATCGTCCTGTTCATCTCTGAGATACACAATGTACATTTGTTTGTGCATTTGTTTTTTTGCATATTGACATCATTCAATAGCGCCAAAACACTGATCGAAATCAATCATTTCTGTCTGGTGGCCTTTTCGCTTTCATGAATGTTGGTCCAGAGCCATATCTTTGACATGCCTTGATTAACTACGGTACATACAAACTTTTAACCTATATATACATCATGTCACTCATGTTGACATGCATTTGTTCTTATTCTTAAATTTTTGGGGTGCTCAATTCAGTATTTTAATATCAATATATTACATGTTCTTGCCAGTGCTGCATCTGTTCGTCCTGGACTGGTACCTGACAAAATAGCTAAGCAATACAAGAAAGAAGAAAAAATAAAACAGTTGAATTTGAAGAGTAAAACCAAGCCACTAAAAGAGAAGGAAAAAGAGCACCGAGAAGAAGGACTACAAAATGAGTTGAGCAGTGACAATAAAGGTTTTGCTTTACTTCAGAAGATGGGTTACAAGAAGGGCATGGGACTTGGAAAACAGGGTTAGTTTCAAAATTGAACCATTACTCTTTGCTGGCCATTCTAAAGATGGCACATTTAGAAAAGTAACATTTTTTGTCTAAATTACAGGGACTGGTAGATCTGTTCCTGTACCAATAGAAATTAAAACAGGTAATTATATTTATATTCATATGGTTTTGTTTTATACTGTATGTTTCCTTAAATTGTTGTTCGTCCATCGATGCCATGAGGACCATCTAGTCATCCTGGGGTCGGAGTGATCTAGCTCTGTGAGTCTGCAGGTGGCTGGTGAGGCCAATCTGCGCCTAGAAAAGTCTCTGGCATTAAGCTTCACACAGGCTTTTCAAATGTCTTGGTTCCCACTGTGATTGCCTTGGTGCCCCTTGGTTATTCCTATATTTGAAGGCAATTTTTTGTAAAAGTTCAAGCCCTACATACAGCAAGTGTGTGTTGGGATATTTGGAAAAATCAAATCTGAATAGGCTTTCTTGTCACTTTCTGGGAATGATGTATAATTTCATTTATTTCTCGTAATGCACATGTATTTGCACATTCATTATTATGATATAATTATTATAATTACCATATCAGGAGCTCATTCATTTGTGTCTGCGGATTTTATCTTGTTTGACCTAAAAGATGCATAACATTTTTGCAGAAAATAATACAAAATCTATGGTTGCATCAACTTTTGCTGTGTGTCTGGATCCCAGTCTCTTGATACTCCCAGTGAGCCAACAATGATTTTGATTTGATGTACATTTTTTATTTGTTCTTTATGTTTCCTCATAAACACACACACCTTATAATATAATAACTATGTCGAAAATTCTCTGTTGATGAAGGTAGGGGTGGTCTTGGCAGAGAGGCTTTGTTGAAAAGAAAACAAGAGAATGCTGAAAGACTTCACCGGGAAAGGATGGCAAAGAGAGTAAAAGATGAAGAGAGAGAACGAGAAGATTACCGTGATAGAACAAGTACTACATTCATTCAAAGACTTATGGACAAAGATTTATTTCAAAGTCAGAAAGCTTGCGAACATTTAGACAGACAAAAGGTACATGATGACTGAGTGTATGAAATGTTTTTTTTTTTAGCAGGAATTATATATTTCCGGTACCGGTACCCCTTGTTCTGCTACTGATTGGAACGTAGACGCTAAGCGTCAGTTAACCAACTATCATGTTAATGCAGAAACACTAGAGTGAGAAATTAGTTGCAGTAGAATTACCTTTTGCACAACCATTCCAAGTTTCCTCTCCTGTTCTGTTTTTGTATTCTGATTCTTACAAAAGTTTCCTTTCATACAGTAGGAAATTATACTAAAATTAGAATTTTAAAGCATTCATTTCTAACGACTCCACTAAGCATTATATCATGTGATTAATTAGTCATGAAAACGTTCAATTAAGGTAGCGAGACTATTATTTGTGTTGAAAATTACGATTTTCACATTTACTTATTAATTGATGAAATGCACTATAAACCTTCATCTGATAAAGTCAACGTAACCTAGAATGTCATGTAAGTTGGTTAAAATGTTGATTTTCTGAGGGGAAGCAAGGCAGCTTCAGTAGTGTTTTCCAAAATCAACAAAACAGGTTTAATCTGTGTGCCTATAAGTTTCAAAGATAAACTCAAGACAAAACAATGTTAGGATGTATTATCAGTAGCTATCTGACACACAATGAGTGTTTCCAAACATTTGCGTGGTTTGTCTCCGCCCCTGTTTATTTCACAGATTAGTCATTTGCATATGAATGTGTCAGACAGCCACTGAAAAAAATATTTGATTTTAGTGTTTTCATCTGCCGATTTTATCGAATTATTGCTATCCCATTCCTTTATTTTTTGGTTTCCAATAGCCTTACACATTTGGATGCCCCTACACATGTTAAAACAGATCTTGAATGGAAAACAAATCGATTGTGCCGATAAACAAGCTTGAAAATCTTTGCTGTGACTTCATGGACGTTTTCTAGTAGTTTAAAATATGTTTTTCAAAATACAAGGTCTTTAACAAAAAATAACGTATATTTATTGTCGTCGGATTAACACCAAATTTTCACAGCTTTGAGATGACAATAAGAGGAACTTGAATGTGTCCAGACAAACTATTTTATGGATTATTTACCAATGTATTGTGGTTTGAGTTGGGGGCAAACAAACTAATAAGTAAACAAATAAGTTACATATGTATTCATGTAATGCGAAGCCATTGATATAATTTCTCTAGAGCTTGGTTCAGGCAATAAAATTCTTTGGGATTCGCTGCAAACTAACACAGTTGGGGTCTGAACACGTAATCCACATTTGATCTGTTTTAGACGATGTACCGGTAACTGTTCTATAATCACGTCAGTTCTATTTGCATTATAATTTCGTAATCTTGACAGATGCTATACAAAAACATTCCCCCCTCCCTCTAGAGACCAAACTCATCTGTGATATAGATGGTGAAGAGTTTCGATCTGTAGTCATCCACCTATACAAATTAACAAATTTGAGACATTTAACAAAATTATTGCTGTGAATATACAAGCATTTAAACAATGAGAGTGTACAAGTAAGATAATATACGATGAAAACCTTGTGCTGATTAAAGAAGAGGTAATAACGTTACCTGATAAACATACATACATGATTTGCATTTTTAAATTTTAGAATTTAGAGGAACCAGTAGAAAAGTGGTATTGGCCAACCTATCCAAAGTTGGAGGAGGAGGAGAAGGAGGAGGAGTCTGAGGAGGAGAGTGACGAGTCTGATGAAGAACCTGTTGATGATATAAGTGTAAGGATAATTTATATGTTTGATCACATGACCCATTGTTTTGACAGCTCAATACATCCTGCATAATTAGAATATGAACATCCTGGATAATTGTTAGAGCTTGTAGGATGTGATGGTATTTTCTAACCAATTGATCTCAATAGTATAGCGATTGTTGCATCAGACTTATGATCAAAAGACCAGAGTTAAAATTTTAACCTTGCAGTTGAACACTAAAAAGGAGAACAAAAACCCCTAACCCTGGGTAATTGTGCCATCACCCCAGTGAGGACAATCCACTGACTGGAAATTTTGGTTAAGCGAGATGACCGTCACATGTGCACATGCAGGAATTGAGTCCCAAGCGATGATAACAACACACACTAAGAACGCTAAGTCTCATGAGTAGACGCTTGTTTGTAAACAATGACACGCTATGGCCATCTGACGCATGGGCAGGTGACGACTCCACCACTTTAAGGTCCGCATGTGTTTGTGCTGACACTGGCATATCTGCAATTGTTTTTTGGAAGGTTAAACCTTGCATTTAAACTATATTGTCGATCTCTAGCATTCAGAGTTAACAGTTGTTATTATTTTGTTGTTACTGTACAGGTAGAAGAAAAGTTATGCACATTGACCAACTATTTAAGGAAGCAGTATTTGTATTGTGTTTGGTGTGGTACAGCTTATAATGGTATATAAACTCAATTAATATTGTTCTGTTTCGTGTACATTATTCAATATTTACTGAGGTACCGGTATATGTATGTTCTGTGATGTATCACATCATAGATATGGAGTGAGGTGTGTACGCCATTGTATGAATCCACATTATTTCCATCAACTCAGATCTATAACCGTCACAGATATATTCTTTTTAAAATAATTGTGTGCACCATGATTCTGTGATAAAAATCAAAAACAACGTATTGAAATGCTATCACTAAATGAGTGATAAAACGGCCACCAGTCAGCCATTTTTAAATCAAAGCTTGAAAAAATACTATTATACAAATGCACTGATTTCAACCCCAGACTAATCGGGTCTGTGCATAGTCCCCAGGCACCCAAGTACCAAGTTTTATTGGAAAGTGATGATTAGTATTAGGATATTTGTGGAAAAGCCATAAATTAAATTATGCAAATGAAGCAATTAACATGCACAAATTTCTACCCCAAACTAATCAAGTCATCGCATTATTTTTGACCAATTATGTACCAAGATTCATTGAAATATGATGATTAGTACTCTGAAGCTGAAAACTGACTAATTGTTATGCAATTTAGGTAATTAATAAATTTATGACCTGAAACTTTCATGTCTGCACAATGTTACAAAGCATCTAACAAGTTTCATTGGAATCAGACAGGCAGTTTTTCAGATATCTGTGGAACAGACAGCAGACAGACAGACAGACAGACATATCAGGGGGTACACACATATGCACTCACAAAGATGGACTAACGACAAAACACCTATTGTGTGCTTCACTAAACATTGTACACTATGGGTGATAATCATACCAAATTATGATTTTTTTGTCTTTTATTTCAGATGAAAAAGACTTGAATGAAAACTGTCCTGGAGATACTGCCAAGGCTCATGACTAGTCAGCATGTAGATGCAATACAATTCAATAAAGTCATCCGGCACTGACGTATCATAGATAATTGAACACTGATTGTAGCAGATGATAACTAGTCTTCCTCAGTGCACAGTACAAAAGTGGCTATGAGTCAAGATTACCCCATGTTCAAACAATATCTTTGGAATTTTTCATCAGATATTTCAATTTTTGTCTCACAAGATTTGTGCTGAACTCAGTCATTTGCTTATTCAAATTGATTGAGTTTATTCAACACCAATTACCCACACCAATTGTGAGTAAATTTGAAATAAGGCTGTCTGTGCAATGTCATATGATTATTTTGGAGTATTTTCAATATGCTCTTGCTCATCAATTATTGCTGGTAATATCTTCAGCATTGCATTCTTTGATTTTAAAACTTCTCATTATCAAGTCATGTGAATTTGATATCTTATTTATATTTTACATTTAATAAAAGTCTCTTTTTACACAATATCTGTTATTTTATAATATACCTCCAACCTCATCTCATAATTATCCAAGAAAAAAACATGACTTATCGGGGCTAGCGACTTACCGAGGGTCCTGGCGAAAATGTATTGAAAATGGATAAAAAGCACATGTGTTTATTTATAGTATGTTTTCTTTATTTAAATACATCATAGCATCCATGATGCAGATTGAGCATCGCCATGAACCGAGACTTTGTGTATAAGGTGTCTTTTTTTTGCCAACAAAACTTGCGCCATCTACACCGAACGAGGATACCGCCGCCACCTATTGTATTGCCGTAATTGATCATGACAACCAGTAGGTGTTAAGTTGTCTACTCTAGCATTTTTAATGGCCATATTAGTTCTTTTACTGTACTTCATAACTGCCGGCAAAACAAAATAGAATTTTCGGGAGCCATTCACCTACCTGCGACTTTAATAGCCAAAATCGTGACTTACTGAGGAGTCACTGTATTGACATTACCATAATCAGGATGGTTTCTAAGATTTTATTTTATTTTGGTACAAAGGCAAGATATAACAGGTCTCATGATCCCTTTTTTATATTTATGGATTTAAATAAAAATTAACCGACTGGTGGCTTTTTTTATTCAGCACAAACTAAAATCGCAAAAAATTGAACATGTCATCAACAGTTTATCAAGCATGCCCTGTATTTTATTCAGACTTTGTATGAATGTCACACATGATGTATTACTTATGCACATCAATTTGTGTTATTTGATTCAAAATGACCAACTGTCAGCAGTATTGGTTTTATATTCATGTGTCTAACCATTTCTTGAACATGCTTTGACTGATTTAGTTCAAAGCATGTACAAACAAGTCATTGTTAATGACACAGTCCCCGTCCAAAATTTTGTGATCTGACATATCAATTTGATGCTGATGAAGTCATTGAGATTAGATTGAAACCATTAATAGGAGATGGATTTGTAAAAAATTATGATTTAGTGCTTTTACACGAGAATTGGACATTGGGCAATCATATTGAATCAAATTACAAAAATAATGATGGTGTAGTTGTATCTCTTGGTATACTATCTTTGTACAAAATTTAAACAAAAATGTTTATGGCATTCAAGAGAAAGTAGCATGGGTATCATGAAAAAAAAAATGGCCGCCAGTTGGCCATTTTTGCTCCGATCATAAAGTAACTTGACACGCATATGTAAGACATTATGTATTGTCTTCATGTGTAGTTTAAATGAAA